TTGGAGCGGGCACGGGCACGGTGGCCAGAGTCTGCCCCTTTAAGGGCTCCGGGTTGGGGGGGGGGAAGTGTTCTTGGTTGAGGCTAGAATGTCCACCAGGGCACCCTGGGAAGGCTGGGGGCCCCCTATTTCAAAATAAGTGTCTACACAGCACTTATTTCGAAATAGCTATTTTGAATTTGGCGTTATTCCTCGTAGAATGAGATTTACCAAATTTGAAATAAGTGCTCTGCTATTTCGAAATAGTGGTTTGGCTGTGTAGGTGCTAGGAAAGTTATTTCGAAATAAGGGCTGTTATTTCAAAATAACTTTGCTGTATAGACATACCCTTAGGGTACATCTACACTAGCCCCCTAGTTCAAACTAGGGAGGTTAATAAAGGCAACCGAAATTGCAAATAGCATGTTCCCAGGTGGTCGCCATTTTGGAAACTGACAGTGAAACGGGAGTTTGAAGTAAACCCCTTAATTCGAATTAAGGGGTTTACTTCAAACTCCCGTTTCACTGCCGCATGTAGACGGGGGCAGTTATTCCGGGCTAGTCAGTTTCCAAAATGGCGACCGCCCAGGAACATGCTAATGAAGCGCAGGATATTTAAATCCCGTGCTTCATTTGCAATTTTGGTCGCCCTCATTAGCCTCCCTAGTTCGAACTAGGGCGCATGTAGACACAGGCAGTTATTCCAGGCTAGTCAGTTTCCAAAATGGCGATCGCCCGGGAACATGCTAATGAAGCTCAGGATATTTAAATCCCGTGCTTCATTTGCAATTTTGGTCACCTTCATTAGCCTCCCTAGTTCGAACTAGGGGGCTAATGTAGACATACCCTTCGAGAGGAAGAGTATTAACACCAGACACTACACAGACAAAAAACCATTGGCACCTTCATTGTTTGGTAGGTTGTATGTTTTGTTAGTCTTTAAAGTGCTACCAAACTATTTGTTGTTTTTTAAGTTTATCCTGTACAGACTAATTCGGCTACCCCCTGAAACTTTTTGCAATTATAAAGATAGTCCTGGCATGCAGAAATGACCATCGTCCAGTCGATAGTTTGCTGGGTGACTGTCATTTGGGATGGCACCCCCTTTGCATTTCTCAGCAAGAAAACCCAGATGACAAGGCTTGCAACCACACAGCCTTGGGGCTAAAATGTGTGCAGAAGGGAGGAGGTTACCAAGTGTAGGCTCCTTGGCACAGCAGGGAAAGTCCTTGCCTTTGCTCAGAAGATAAGGCTGCACCGGTCTCAATACTGACTGCACCCAGGACCACAGGAGATGAGAAATGGGAGCTGGCATATTTCATTGTTATTGCAGCTTTGCTCTCACATGAAAGATTGAACTTATCGATCAGTTGTTGAAAAGCAAATTACAAGCACTGGATCACCTTAGCAGAGTTGCATGTGAGCACCAAGCCACTTACCTTGGTTTGCTATCTGCAGGTCACTCATGAATCATGGCTTTTTATATGATAAAAATAAATTTATGTTTATGTTTCTCAAAACAAAGCAAGAAAGATTTAGATGGACATTTGCTGTAATACCCAATCCCTGGTCTGGGCACAGCCCATAGAACTCAGAGGAATTACAAGCTATGTCAGCGATTTCACTGCAGCTGACCAATGACAAGTGCATGTTCCCGAGACAAATGCTTTCACTGCTTTTCAGCCAGTTGCAGTAGCAAGTTCAGGCATGTGCCTCAAATTGGGAACATTTTCACACACTCTGGGTACGTCTACACTAGCTCGTTAGTTCGAGCTAGGTAGGGTAATGAGGGCAAGCGGAGTTGCAAATGAATCCTGGGATTTAAATATCCCGGGCTTCATTTGCATGTTCCCAGGCGCCTCCATTTTTAAATCCCCCTTAGTCCGAACTCCATGCCCGCGGCTACACGCGGCACGGAGTAGGTAGTTCGAATTAAAGATCCTAATTCGAACTACCGTTACTCCTCATTCCACGAGGAGTAATGGTAGTTCGAATTAGGATCTTTAATTCGAACTACCTACTCTGTACCGCGTGTAGCCGCGGGCACGGAGTTTGGACTAAGGGGGATTTAAAAATGGCAGCGCCCGGGAACATGCAAATGAAGCCCGGGATATTTAAATCTGGGGCTTCATTTGCAACTCCGCTTGCCCTCATTACCCTACCTAGCTTGAACTAACGAGCTAGTGTAGATGTACCTTCTTTGTGGGACACACTAATGGCACCTGGAAATCTTGGCCCCAACTTGTCCTGTCTATTACAGGTCAAAAAACAAAAGGTCTGGACAAAGTGATGGAGAGATACACACATTTCTGAAGGCCCCCAAATTCCAGCAAGTGAAGACTACTGATACACAGCGACGTGGCAATGAGCAAGAGGTTCTGTGGTGAGTGGGGAGATGCACAGCATTCACAGATCAGTAAACCCAACAGAAGTGAGGTATCACAAACTTTTATTGCCAGATTGAGATTTTGCACCCTATGTCATGATAGTCACTTGACCAGAAAAAACAACAAAACACACACATAGAACATGTCTTGCATCTAGATTCTGCAGGAAGAGTTCAACATCCGGAGCAGCAACAAACCTTGTATAGTGTGTACTAGAGCAACTGGAGTGACACAAAGTAACACACTCTGGAGGGTGCTGCTGAACTGCCTACAAGCAGACTGAGCAGCTACACAAACAACAGAGGGCAGGAGGCTGGGATTATAATGACCCTTCTCTGAATCTAGGCAGACCCCCACGCCAAGCCTTCCTATAGTCACTGCCAGGCAGACTGGTGGTTTTGCTTCTTTCACAGCTGTGGCCAGTTGACACTGAAGTGAAACTCACTACTGGATGCTGACAAACACTTCCCCAGAAAAGATGCAGGGAACATGCTGGTAAATCAATTTTATCTTTAGTGATAATCTACAGCAAGTCACGTGGGCCCAGAGGTAAGGCGGAGAGTGGTTCGCCATTTCTAAAGGACCTTTATGGAAAAGCTGAAAGATTGTGCAAGAATGACAATGGGAACATCACAGAGTGCTGGATGCTTGTGAAAGCACTGGGCATTAACCCAGGCATCTCAGCAGGGTGAGCAATTCATGCAGGCTGGGAGAAGGTCCTCAACTGCATTAGATGGGTAGGAGAAAGATCTGATGAACAAGGTTTTTGTATTATTGCCCATCACTGAAATGGAGCTTCTCACTCACACCCACTCTTTGAAGATCTAACCCTGACCAATTCAGAGGAAGCTGCTGAAGGCATGACAGCACAATTCCGGTCAGCTGGACAGGGAACACGACACATCTGCACCTCTGAGATATGGGTCAGGAGCGAAGAACTGTGCTCTTTTATTAAAAGAATATCACAAGTAATGTCCCCACCAATCCAACTGGCATTAACATTACTAGGTATATGGGCCATTACCAACAAACACAGTAGTATAAACAGTCTTTAGAAAGAATATGAACTGTAATAAAAATGGAGATCCACAGTAAACGCACAGTAAACGCACTGAGATCACAACAGTGCTGCGTATGCATGTCACTTCCTAGGTTGAGTGCTGACTCCGTGCTATTCAGCCAGGCAGTCTTTCAATAGCAAGTTGTCCCCGCCACACAAAGCCAGGCACTGTGTACATAGAGAGCTAATACCAGTCATGTTGTTCCAAGTCACTCTGCAGGATCACAACCAGATGACAATAGAAACAATCTTAGAGTCACAAGGTGGCTCCCTAATTTCTGTCCAGTCAATTAAATCTGTCTGTAACCTATATTTTGGCAGAAGATGTGCCCTTGTTAGCAATTGTTACGGTAATTGTACCAAATTCCAATTACTGGTGTGCTAAATGATACCTCCCATGCATTCAAACACACAGACACATGTTGTATACATATATATACACACAGTGCAGCAATATATAGATATCATATATAAACCCTCCTCCCATTGGCATGGTTTCAGATGTGACGGTTGCCCTTGTTTCCCTGTTCAGAACAGCTGTGTAAAGAAGATGGGAGATTTGTATTGTCACTTTATATAACTGAAAGAGAGTCCAAGCATGTCCAACAGTGGGCACCAGTGTTTTGGGTGGGGAAAAGGGTGATGGTATAAAATCAGGAATGCAGAGTCTTTACAAAGCTTTTTAAAGGCCATATGATGGCAGGAACTTACAATAGCATAGCACCATTCTCAAGGTTTCCCTGATTTTTCTCATAATATGGTTCAGCACCACTAGGTTAAAGAAAAGCACTGTTAAAAGGGGTGTGGATCAATGTGCATTATACAGCCAAATCCACGCGCGCGCACACACACACACACACTGAAACGTGCCCTGGCTTTTGTTGGGTTTCTTCCAATGCTGTCACCCTTGCTTGAGAATATTGGTTATTGTTCAGGATTAAGGTGAAACTTTTTCAAATGAAATTTATTTTGCAGGGAGGTGGAGAATGTTTCCCTTAACAGATTGGTTGCTCTTTCACAGCTGCTTCTACTTCGCTTAGTGCAGTAACAAGCACAGGCGTTACACCTGTAACCCCTATGTGGCCCCCACTTGGAAATTGAGAGGTTAATTCAATTAATAACTAAACGGTGTGATTTTCCAAACCCCAAGTCTACACATGACATAAAATTTTCAAATGGTCCTTGACTAGAGTTTGTCTGGAATCCAAAATTAATTTTTACATCATTCCAGTTTCTTTTTTTTAAATCAGAGGTCCCAGATATCCTCAGCAATCTCTGTAAAATCACTTTTGCCTGGACACAAAATTGCCCCAGTGGCCAGGTCTGAATTGTATTTCCCAGCTGTTTTTACCTAGTGAGTGTTTGCAGATATCAAGCAGCACACAGTGCAGAGAAGCAGCATGTGGAAGATGCTCCTAACACCAAGATTTGAAGGAGTACAATGTTCCCTCTAATGTTTTCCATCCATGCGCAGAATACATTTTGTTATGTGCACCAAAGCGTGTGCAGATGTGCATCACCAGTAGAAACACATGCTGCTGGCTGGGCACTCTCTAATCAGCTGCATGACATTTGAATCTTCCCGGGAGGCTTCCCAAACACGTAGCTTACAGGGAATGCTGGTGGAGGCCAATGGAAAGTGCCTTTAACAAGCCCCTCCCAGCACCCGTAGTTACTATAAACTGGCATGTTTGGAAAAAGGCAGGTGATGGGAAAATGGAGCATGTCTGGTCCTACTGGATTATGGAGGTTCAAGATTCCAAGTAGGTCCTTTCCTTTGGCAGATGTGGTTTTGGAGTAGAACAGATTTCTTGGGGCTCTAGAGGGGAATGCATGGGCCATGAGAGAGAGGATGGTTTCCACTGCCATGCAGTAAAACCGTATTTTGCTATTTGCCACATGTTTTTCTGTAAGGGCTTCTGAGCATGAAGCTGAAAGAAGAGTTTGGCTGAGAATGGCGGAATTGCTTGGTGGCGTCTCTTCTAGCTCTGCATATGGCTGGGGCTTGAGAAGAACAGACACCTGGGCCAGTCTCTGCCAAACCATGAGAAGAGCTGGCATCTAAGATTCAAGGGCTGTCCAAATGAGTTGTGTGTCCCCCTCGGATATAGCTGTTCTATCACTCTGACAGCCCCAAGGGCAGAATTGCCAACAGCCCAACGAGTCTCCCCAAAGGACAATCAGCAAGAGAAAAGAAAGCACAGCGCTAAGGGACCATTTCCAATGCTGGGGGATGGGAGGGCGCAGCTTCCATTCCCTTCTGGAGAATTAACATCATACAAACTTTGGCACTGAACCCAGGGGCTTTGTACTTTTATAGTGCCAGTCACAGCGCGGCTCACTGCCAATTCCACAGGCGCCGTTTGGTTAGGAGACACTCAGGCTGGCTAGTCCATTTCACAAGCAGCGCCCCCCAGGCCTATGATCCAGAAATAAAGCAAGTGGCACTCAGAATTGGTTCGATCCAGCAAACGTATGCTGTATGTTACTAGTCAGCATCAAATAAGTTAAAAAGCTCTAATTCAAAACTGTTGGCTTTTTAGAAAGGTTACAGATTTTTCTCCATTTGATAAAAATTTCACCTTAATTTAAAAATAACAATAAAAAGTAAACCCAAGAGAAACAGAACGACTCCTTACGAAATAGCACCACGGCTCTGCTCTGGGCAAGCCGGCACGGGGAGCAGCGCTGCAGGGAGCAGAGACGGCAACGAGAGTCTCAGACCAAACACGCCATGCGAGGCCAGGACGTGGGGCAGGCCAGGGCAGGTTCCCTTGTAGGAGCCTGTCGGAGTCTTTCACTCAAAGGACTGTGGGGTCTTCTCTCCCTTTGGTCAGTTCCCCCTTGGACAGGGAAAATCCACTAAAACAGGGCAGGTTACGCATTCAATCTCTTTTCAGCTGATGTGTTGTCAGCAGCAATTTGGGCATCTGCAGAGAAAGAGGAAAGAGCAGTGAATCATAGAATCATAGATTACCAGGACTGGAAGGGACCTCGAGAGGTCATCGAGTCCAGTCCCCTGCCCTCATGGCAGGACCAAGTACTGTCTAGACCAGGCATGTCCAAAGTCCGGCCCGTGGGCCAATTGCGGCCCGTGTTCTGGTTTAATACGGCCCCACAGGTAATTTGGCAATATCTATCTTTTATGGCCCCCAATGAATCCATATGTATTGAGATGAATACATTGTAAAATCTCAGTTAATGTCAGTCGGTCTAAATCAGTTATAAATATATTTGGACACAACATGTATACTTGGTGTTATGTTCCTGTTCATATTTTTTGAACTTAAAAGTTGACAGACAACCTTTATTACCAATAATATGTAATGTACTTTACAATGTTCCTGACATATATTTCAGCTTCCTGGATTTTTTTTTCATCTGGCCTTCAGATATGAAAGGCAGAGTGATTTAACACCTGTTTAGATTTGTCATCCATGTGACGAAATGAAAAGTATGCCGTTTGCAATAAACTTTGCATAAAATAGTTAATTTGCATTTAATTTTAATGGTTCAAAGAATGTCAGGCAAAATGGTCGGCCCTCACGCATGTTCACTTCATCAAATCTGGCCCTCTTTGAAAAAAGTTTGGACACCCCTGGTATATAGCATTCCTTTGTATCAGGGAAGATCTAGAATTCAGAATGACCTTAGAAAAATCAATTAGCTGAATGTGATGAGATAAAGAATTCTCACTTTCCTCTGTTTATAGCATGTTCCTCCTCTAGATAGTCTTGAATGGAAAAACAATGTGGAACAACTTGGTATTCACATGTTCTTAGAGCTTTACAAAAATCTTCAGCATTATTCAGCAATCAAGTATAGCCGCCAACAATATCTTAATACTAGACAGTTTGGTACTTGAATACTAAAGTGAGTAACAGACCATAGATGTTGCATCTCATCTGTGTTTTTACAGTAAATAAAGCATGTATATCTTTAATCTGTCACTCTCCTCTTTACACTATATTAACATTTTCCCTTGTCTTCTATAAATCTAAGTCCAATAGAACTGTCAACCCTTTCTAAGGATTATTTTGAAGATGGACAGCTCTGACATTATGAATTAATTTTTTTTTATCAGCTTGTTTATCCAGTAAAACAAAAAATTGTTTATATTAGCATTGAAACAGAAAACTGGGAGTCAAGACCCCTATACCGCAGCATCTAAACACACTGGTGTTACAGCCTGCCCGTTTTCACTGACACTTACTGTCCTTGATCTCTTGACAACAGAGTCAGAACCAGGGGCGGCCTGTGAGCATACGCAGACTTGGCGGTCGCCTAGGGCACTGCTGGCCCGGGGCGCCCAATGATGACATCATGGGGCACCCGGGTGCCCGATGATTACGTCACGGCCCGCGCCTTCTGCCTGGAGCACCAGCTGCCGCAGCCGGCCTCGGGCCACTCCTGGTCGGAACACCCAAAGTGGCACTGCTGGACCCCTACCTGCATCTGCCTGGTGCCTGCATTGAAGATCACAGTCCTCCTTGGTGTAGAAACGATTGAGGTTCCCCCTGCAGCCGCTGTAGATGAAAGGCCGGCACTCTGCCACTTTTTGGTTATAATACCACCTGAGTGTGAATCTGTTGCAGTCTCCCTCATCCAGGGGCGAACTGCAAGGGTCAGCTAGGAGGGGGAAAAATATGAAAAGATTAGCTGGTTAGGACCCCTGGGGCTCAGAGAGAAAAGAGATCCATGATTAGAAATCTGCTCTGACATCCTACCTAGCAAAACATCGGCAGAAGACATTAGAATGCCTCTGGCCCTTCAGAACTCAAGGTGAGCCCACAGGAAGGTACAGCTAAAGAGAGGCGGGAAGAGCCAAATGGGGTTGGCAGTTTATATGTGAATGGAAGACACTTACAAACATTTTGCATTGGTCATACCTCTGTGGAAGGGGAAACTGATTGACTTAATTCACCTCATTGACTTAATGATCGAATGCCAAACTGATTCAGCTCTGGATAGCATTGCTATCTGCAGTGTATTTGGACCAGCTGAAAGGGAAGAAGTGTTGTGTGTGTTGCCAAACCAAATGTTTTCTATCAAGCCAGGGAAGACACACTTGGCTGATTCATAAAATCATTATAGAAAGACCACAGCAATGTCCCAGCAGACCTCACAGCCACATCCCAGCAGACCCCACAGGGCCACTGGCAAGGTGCAGGAACAAATTTGTTCGGAAATCCAAAGTACGTTAGACCTGGAAGTAATTAAAGAGCCTGACAGCTTTTGGACATCACCTGTGGCCTTGGTCCCTAAGAAAGCGATCACTCTAAAGTTTTGTGCTGATTATAGATAATTCAGTGTGGTCCCAGAACCCAGATGCTTATCCTATGCCTAGAATAGATGATATGCTAGATATTTTAGGCAAAGCTAAATATCTCAGCCTTTTTGATTTAGTAGAGGTATTAGCAGGCTCCTGTAGACAAGGCTGCACAAAAGAACTCTGCTTTCATCAATTACATGGGTCTCTGAGTTCTCAATGTTACCATTTGGGTTAACTAAAGCAGGGGCCACCTTTCAGAGACCGGTCACACAAGTGTTAGATGGTTCACAGAGGTTTGCAAGATAAGAGCCTATGTCAATGACATTGCAGTGTTTGGCAACTCTTGTTCTGATCACAAAAAAATCCCATTTACAAATGGTGCAGTCAAATCTCAAAGGGTATGTCTACACTACAGCGCTAATTCGAACTAACGCATCCAGACTAAAAAACTAGTTCGAATTAGCGTTTTGCTAATTCGAACTAGCATGTCCACATTAAGTGGACCCTGAACCGGGGTTAAGGATGGCCGGAAGCAGTGCCGGCAGGGCATCAGATGAGGACTTAGAGCGTGGAGCTGCTGCCTCAGGCTAGCCAAGGGCTGTGCTTAAAGGGACCCGACCCCTACCCCGGACAGACAGTTCTCAGGGGTGCCCCGCTTGCAAAGCAGTCCTGGCTTGGAGTGCCCTAAGTGCCCACACTGGGCACAACACAGCACTCGGCCATCAGACCGGCTGCACTTGCCACAGGCTGCCATCTGGGGAGAAGGGGCAATTGGGGGGCTGCAGGAGAGCTTCCACCCCGAGAAGCCCGCAGAGCCAGCCCAGTCCTCCCCATCGGGGGCTCGTATCCCATTCCTCCCTCACCTCCTTCCACTTACCCTTCCCTACCCCCCCTTCCTGATGTACAAAATAAAGAAAACGTGTGGTCCAAAATAGAATCTCTCCTTATTGAACAAAACTCGGGGAGACTGGGAAAAGGAGGTGGGAGAGGGGAAGAGAGAGGGTGGGAGAGGGGAGGGCAA